TTTATGACTTCAGGAGAGGTTAGGTGATGCAACAAGACAATGACCCAAAGTACACAAATAAATCAACTAAAGAATGGCTGGGGAATAAAAGGAAAATGTATTTCCCTGACCTTAACCCAATGCAGATGCTGTGGCATAACCTAGGGAGGGCTGTTCTAGCATGACCGCTCAGAAATATTGATAAACTGAAACAGATTTGTGGGGAAGGATGGTCCAAAATTGGTCAAAAGTCATGTAAGCAACTAGATTTGGTTGAGGTTTTGCTGCTAAAGGAGGATCTGCAAGCTACTGAAAGTTAACTTTTTTTCACCCTGCACTGCAATAAAAATGTGAAAAGTACAATTGTTTGTGTATTATTAGTTAAGTCAGTTTGTATTTGTCTAAAATTGTGAGTTAAATTAAGATCAGGCCACATTTTATGAGTTATAAAAGCAGAAATCCAGATATTTTGAAAGGATTCACTAGGGTTGGGTACCGAAACCTGGTACCAATATTAGTGGTCGACTGATATTGTTTTTTTTGACAGCCGATATCTTGGAAAGCAGGGTGGCCGATATAAAGTATTTTTCACAAATAAACAAATATTTAATAAAAATATAATTAAAAAGGAAGTAAATATTGTAACCAATAGGGCACTCAGTATTCTGGGAAGTTTGTGTGCATTGGGAATCACATTTTTTCAAATAAAGCCAAGGTAACACTCATTTTACATACAGCACACAGTGAAAATGACATGAATATGACATTGGGCAAAAGCATGAAGCGTAGCATAATTTGAAATCACGAGTTTAAAGTTTGTCAATCGCACGTCTCAAAGAAGCTGAACTCTCCTCCTGTTCGTATTCAATTCGCACAGACCAACTGTCATGCAGGGTACACGCGATCGTGCACAAATGCACACTTCATATGATCTCACAGCTGGATTCGACTAGATTTGTTTAAATTATGTAAATGCGTATTTGCTGAATGAAGGCAAACGAGAAAGTATTATAATGTTTGCCTTTCTATTACTAACAATATAAAAGCAATCGTTATAATACTTTTTTGTATACATTTTAATTCCTTTGTTTAACAGTTCTATCTGATTATTAGACAGACTTCTGTCCGTGGACAGAACTGTTAACGACGACTGTTAATGCCATTCTCAGCACCGTCAAAATAAAAGTCCCGCCACGAACGCATCGGCCAAACAGAAAAATGTATCGGCTGATGCCGATATTTGAAAAATATCAGCCTTGACGATATATCGGTCGACCACTAACCAATATGACACCGGTACCTATGTAACCGGTATGTACTAGAACCGAATCAGAATGCAGATTTCGGTGCCTCATTTCGGTGCCATGCCTGAGTGATCGATTTAAATATTTGTCTTCTGGTTCTATGAAACGGACGTAAGAAGCATCATCACCAGCACCACAGACCGCACATGAAAAATAATTTCCCAACTGAGAAAATGCACGTGAACTTAAGTCGGAAAACTCCAATAATACAAATCCAACAAATCTTTGTAGTAACACGAGTGTCCATGTTGTTTTCACATTCCGACTTAAAAGCACAACTCAGGAAATGAGAGCATCCGAGGAGCGTGTGAATGCAGTAATTAGACTTGCTTTGATGGCAGCAGGTAGCCTTCCGTTAACTAAGCTAAACTTGCTTAAATTAAAATGCCTAAAGCTAAACCTCCCTTGTATTCACATTTCTAAACCTGTTGTCCAACAAAAGAGAACATTGTAACTAGACCTGGGTGATAAAACGGTATCAATATTTATCGACGGTACACCTTCTTCGATAACGATAGAACATTTTTTCATGAACATGAGTGACGCAGACAGCACACACAAACACGAACACATACTGAAATGAGTGCTGTGCCTGCCTGTGATGAGGAGATTGTGAATAAAGAATGAATATTAGTCGAATTTAAAATAAACATTTGCATTTGAATGTTAGGTGTCCATCAGGGAGCGTCATCAGTGGTGCGTGAGACGCGAAGATAATGATGTGAGCGAGGTTGTTGCATTTGAATGTTTTGTTAGTCTAGGCCACGCGACGCACCGCTGCTGTGTTATGCATTCAAAATATTAGAGAAATATAGAAACTCAATGCTGAGAAGAACTTTAGTTAAAACCGAAACCAAGCCATTCACACAGAATGCATATTCAGCGCATTTTTTAGTCGAACAAATGTGACTGCTGCACTCGCATCTCACACAAGAGATGTATAGAAAGCCATGCAAAGTTAAAACAATTTAAACTTTTAGAAAACACGTCACAAATTTGTGGAGGTTTATTCCTTTTCACTGTGTCTCATATGTTTTAAATGCAATCTGTGTGAATGGTGCTTTGGCTCTTTGAATTAAGCAATGCATAAATACATGATGCTGTTTTGTTCATAATTGTTTATGCAATTTACGAAATTATATTTGATTTTTATGAGTTAATTTAGACATAATGCACATTTTTATACACAGTTATTTCCTTGCGTTTACAATTTAAATGCGCTATTATTTTGCTCGTTGCGCCCTCCTGTGGCCTTGGAAGAGTAGACAAAAATTTCCTTAAGACCTATTTAATCTGCATATAAACCATTAGAAATTAGATATTTGTTTAATTTTTATTTTGTGTTTGATTGTTAAACCAAAATTATTTGTTGTTTGTCGCAATAAATTGGGTTAATTTAAAAATGCAGTGGTTAAATTTAAACCTTTTTATTCTATTGCTCTTAGTTTTAAAAAAAAGGTTATAAAAAATGTCAATAATTATTGATACCGGATGATATGAAACATTATATAGTTGATACATTTTTTAGCTATATCGCCCAGCCCTAATTATAATGTTTTTACTCCACAACACCTGTCAAATGCTTCCTTTTGTGATCTGATGTGGCTTCTTGTCACAGAATGAGGCAGAAAATATGTTCCATAGGCTACTTTAAAAAGAATACATCGATTAGCAATGGATTATAAATATACTTAATTATTATGAAAATTAGATGGCTTGAATAACACAGATAAACTATATTGTCACAGTCGAGTGTTTATTGTCTTTGTTTTATCATTCAAAACGTTTATATGTTCTGTTTACTCAGTTACATGTATAATAGCTATGCCTTTGTCCATATAAGGGATTTCCTGGAGGGTCATGAGTTCAGCTACTTCTGTGACTGGATATGTGGATTTTCTGTGTGAGGGCGCCCTCTGGCAGCCAGTATGAATGAAACAGACATCATGTGTTTATAGTGCTAATGGCCAAACCATAATTTGTTTGGGGAATTTTTATTTATTTATTTATTTTTAATAAGTATCGGTTCAGGCACCGGAAACGATTTTAAAAGTATCGATTTGGCACGGTATCGAAAAAAACCCAAACGATACCCAACCCTAGGGTTCACAAATTGAATATTGTCACTGTGTTGTTAGGTCATGTAAAATTGTAAACTATTAAACATAATTTTAATAGTTAATTAATTATTAAATTATTAATTTCATTAACTAGTAAACATAATTAATTAAAATTAAACATAATTTTAAAAACACTTAATTTAGTGAAAAACTTGACTTGATAATTTGCTGTAGAATTAATGCCCTAGATTGTGTAATGATGTAATGATGGTTCTTCTGATTGGGGAAAAAAAACATAAACCTCAAAAATATTTATATTAATATAAAAAGAATCTGTATGCAGTTGAGTATATTTACAGTATATTGTTTAAAATATGTCTGAACACATCAGAGACAATGTATTTTTACATTTATTTGAGAGTTTGAGCAAGTAAAACCTGGAGTAAATAATCATCTGTGCCAAGAAATGGATTATTGAATGTTCTTGCCATTCAAAACAAATTGATCAGAATCAAAGAACACAGTATGTTTGCACAAGTCCTAATGGAACTGTATCGGCTCGATTGTCTGGAGCAGATGGTTATATTTTATGAACAGCTGAACTGGTAGGCTTTGGAAAATTCCAGCACACAAAGGGTGTGGGATATTTATAAAGTCGTTCAGTGTCCCCCTCTACGAAATGCACCGGGTAATTTCAACATGATCCACTGTGGCTTCCTATCTTCTCGCTCTGGACCTCTGCCAAGAGGTAATGTGAATGGCAATGCTCAAATGCCTGTGTTCTGATTGGACAGCAAAAGTGGGGATAAGTTTACTAGCCAATGGAAGGGGTTTGAGCCAGAGGGTAAATCAGGACAGCTGATTGGCAACTCTTAAGCGTTAGTCCAGCCATACCATGGCTCTCTGCCAGAGCGTTTCTAAGTACAATGCAATGTTGTCACTTGCAGTTTCACTGATTGACAGCTTTTCCTTTACAAACTGGCAACACAACAGGACACCTTCCCCATTGTTTTTGGTGTGTATGTTTATGAATTAATACCTGACTTGTGACTTTTATGTTTGCATTGTCAGTGGAATGAGATCTCATTGTGTGTTGTTGGGTGGAAAATGCATTTAGATTTAGGGTGTAATATATTGTGCACAGTCTTTCATTTGGAAAGATGAGGATCGTCTGTCCACTTGGCTAGGTCATGCTTTCTAAACTGTGCATGAGTGAGATAAGTGAAGTCAGGATACCCACTGGCACTGACAAAATGTGGATGGACCCCTGTAGCAAAATCAATTAGTCAAATCAATGCACACTCAGGGTTTTACCAAGGCCTTTGTATTGGATTTGGGTCACTGCAGTGTTGAACTTAACTAGACTTACCATAGAGACTGATGCCCTCAATTTGGCCTCAGGTTGGGTCTCAGAAATCATTACCTGTCTCCAGATACATTAAATAAAGGCTTGATTAATCATACACCCTCCGCCCACTTCATAGTTTAACTGAGGGAGTGATAAAGTTGGATTTGGAAACATTGTATCTGTTATTTTACTGTCCAAATTTTGCAGGTCCTGCAATCCACAATAGTCCTGTAGTCCTCTTGCATGGTCACATGGGATGGGTCTTCCATCCTGACAATTATTAATGATTCACCTGTGTCTGTCCTCTAGCTGAGAGAAGCTGAACATCACGAGGAGAGAACCATTTGATGGAAGAAAAGAAAAAGCAAGAAGAAGAGACAAAGAAGGATACTGCACAGAAAACGGTCAGTTTGCTTTAATTTAAAAAAAAAACAAGAGGAAAAACACTTCTGGTAGCCTGGACTGAGAAGACATATTATTCTTTTTAATATAAGGCCAGTACCTGATGGATGACAATGATGGATAAAATTATATGCTGTTTTCCTTAACCCTCTGGGGTCGAGGGTGTTTTGGGGCCTGGAAAAGTTTTAACATGCCCTGACATTTGTGCTTTTTTCAGTTGCTTACAAACATTTGAATGTCTAAAGCTTAATAACACTGTAATCAGCACAAACTGGGCTACAATAATATGTGAGCAGCATGTATGTACGTGATTGTGTTTTTGAGAAAACATTTATGCGTGCTTAGTGAAAAACTAAAATTTTAAAGTCACTGAAATAAGGCCATAAAACACATACAGAACATTTGATCACAAGACTTTTGAGAACTGATCTTGAAGTCTAGAGTTTTTGCTTCAAAATTATGTGAAAATCATCTTACTCACTCATTCACAGTAAACAATATATTGATTTAAATTTTCTAAGACATTTTTTGTGTAGAAAAGGTATATGCGAGGAGGCGTGAATGGTCATGCAGATGCAGGTGAAGGAAATAGTGGTGTATTCGGTCCTAAAATAATTGTATAAACAATTGTAAGCATTTTTTCCCACAGTACCTTAGTATAGT